GGTGGGCAACGACACACCATAATTGCTAACTATACAACCTAAGAAACATTTTTGCAAATATTAGGCCCTGTTTGGTTTGTGGGAATAGGGGTATGGAATCGGAATTAGAATGAACTATTCTGATTCCAATTGTTTGGTTGGATGGAATCAGAATCCCATTCTCATTCCTGCTGGAATGGCATTCCCCCATTCAAGGGAATGGCCATTCCCTACCCCTTCCTTGGGAATGAAATCCTATTCTTGCTGATTTCAATTTCCATTTCCATTTGTGTTTGAACCAAACATACTATGGAAATGGACCATTCTGATTCTGATTTCAACTACGAACCAAACGAACCCGTAGATGTTCGTCGAATGGTGAACCTATGAAGCTCACAAATCCATGGCATAAATGTTTTTAAGGAATTGAATGAGAAAACAACAACAAAGGGATCATTTAGAAAATCAATGAAACAAAACTCAAAGTTACCTATCCATAGATGGACATAGGATTCCAAGGAGTTCATGGACTTAACGAAGGAGAAGTGGAGAACAATAAAATGAAGGAACCATTTAACAAGTTAAATTAAGGTATAAATTCCCAAATCATAAATGATTAAAGTCTTAAACTAAGATGGAAGGGGTTTTGAGAAAGTTGGGAAGGCAATTTATATTGTGTACAAGATTAGAGGAGCACAATGATAACACAATGGTACACTTTGAAGTAATACTGGCTTGGAACTTATTAGTTAACGAGGAGGGTCTGATGAAAAAAGTTTGAATTTACCACCATGATTTTGAAAATCGGACTAGATCGGTTAATCTAGGAACCGATCAGGCAACCAGTTTTGTTTCACCCTAAAACTATTTTTGGGCCAAAAACTGTTGACTTGGTCAGTGATCTATTGACCCGGGTGGTTGAACCACTAACCCATTGATTTAGACAACGGTTTTGATTGTTTTTTATTTTAATTATTTTTTAAATTAGAATGGATTGTCCATTGAACGGTTGAACCATTTGACCCAAAAACCGATGGCCAAATCGGTTTCGTGTCCAATCCAATTTTTAAAACCTTACTTACCACTACAATCAGTACAATCAAATCATAGATAAACAACGGAATGCTAATTGCTTGAGTTGAGTGTATATTTTCCAAAATTCAAGGTATTAAAATGTTGTATTTGAAAGTTCTTTCCTTTAAATGTGATTATTCTAAAATCTCAATTATAATTTTTGGGATAAATTACAAATTACCACCCTGTACTTTGGGATAGTGATACTTAGCCCTCTTAACTTTTATGTGGGAAAAAGATCTCCTTAAACTTTCAAATCCTGCTTAATTCATAAGAAGATTCTCATGTGACTGTCATGTCTTTGTTTATATATTTCTAAATACCCAAATTTCATTTCCCTTCTTTATCCTTTCTCTTTTTTTGGCAATCAATGTTCATCTCCATCATCAAGTCATTGAATGTAATTGACTTAGACCTCTGATTTATATTGAATTTGTATTTAGGCCCTGTTTGATTTCACTTTTAAAAAGTACTTCTTTTAACAAGTACTTCTTTTAAATGCTGGGACTACAAATTAAATGGTAAAACAATACTTATGTGTGTTTGGTAAAAAAGACACCAATAAGTACTTTTTTTTAAAAGAAGTACTGATAGAAAAAATGACTTGAGAGTGTTTTTTTTTTCAGCACTTCTTGGAGAAGTGCTTTTTCAAAACGAATGGGATTATTCATTCCCTAAATAATTTATTTAATACCAGTTTTGCCCTCACATGAGGGTTTTCTTCCCTCTCCTCCTATTCAAACACAGTAAGTAGAGGGCGGTGACTCCAGTTGCAGGTCCACCGACGACGACCGACGGTGCGAAAATATGGCCAACATACCTGCCGTTTTTTTTCCCTTTGTGACTATTTTTTTGCTTATTTTATTCGATTTGAAGCATTTTTCTTGAGTTTTAACGCCTGAAAAAGCTCTTCTCTCTGTTCGCATATTTGTGATTAGGTAAGTTTTCCGACGACACCCGACCGTCCAGCTGCCGGTGAACAAAGGTGAGTTCGCCCAAACTCCTCCCCTTCGTGTTTGATGTTATTTTCTTGTTTTTTTGGGTGAATATTTGTCTGGATTCGTTTTTTTAGATTTTTCAAGTGAGAAATCCAAAATATTTACTTTTTTTTGTGTTTTTTTGTTAAAAATGATGCAAAACATATGCTGAAATATGTAGGTTACAATTTTTTTCTTGATTTTTTGTATGAATAATTAGTTAAATGTTTATATTTTTCTTGATTTGTGATTGCATTTTACTTTATTTTTTATATGTATAGTTGTGATTGATATTTAGTTAAATGTTTACATGTATTCTTGATTTGTGATTATTATTATTTATCAATAATATTTATTATTTGTTGTTGTTGTTGTTGTTGTTGTTGTTCTTCTTCTTCTTCTTCTTCTTCTTATTATTATTATTATTATTATTTGGGTCTATATGGTGCTCCACGTGTGGGCCCATGTGGGCTCTCAGGTGTCATGATGCGGTGATTTTTCATGTGTAGTATAATATGTGAAAAGCATTGTTTACATGTATGATTGAAGTGAGGGCTAGAATTGCCATTTGTGTCGATATAAACACGTGTGGAGAAAGTAGCTCACCAAACATCACACCCCAAAAAGTGCTTAAAAAACAAGTGATTTGGCAAGTGACTTATCAAACAACCTTAAGTGGTTGTTAAAATAAACACTTCTAAAAAGTAACTTGTGTAACAAGTACTTATTTTAATCACTTAATCATCAAACATAGCTTTAAAATGATTGTTGGACAATCAACAATAACTTCATTGGAGAGGATGCAAATGAAGTTGGAAATGTTGGTTGTTGTTTAGTAGATGTAAATAGAGATGATAGGGCGTTAAATGCAATCACAACTTGTTAGTAACTCAATATCAATTGCATAGAAGGTCCTTGTTACCTAACAGTGGATTTCGAAAGCTTTGTAACATTCTATCTTGTGGCCTACTTTTGTTTTGGTATTTTGCTCTTACCATGTGAGTACACTGAAATGTGGCCTCCATAAGGTTCAAAGAAAATCATTAGCTAGCAAAACACTATAATTTTGCTGATGTGGTAGTTGTTTTTAATTTTCAAAAACAAAACCAATCATGTTGTAAAATACTTTTGTTACTCTTTGTTGTTTCAAATAGAAGCTATAGTGCTTAATGCACTTTTTAATCTAATTTCCAATGTTTTCAACCTGCTATTAACCTGATCGGTTGAATAGTTTGATCCATCACCCACTCAAGATTCTGGTTTGGTTTTAGTAAAATCAAGAGGATGGTAAAAAAATTTTGATTTTGTTGAAAACCGTCCAACCTGGATGGTTAGACCATTGACCTAGTGATTAGGCCACGGGTTGCACACTAAAACATGTATGCAAACTTCAGGAGGCCATAACTTTGCACTCCGAAGTTCGATTGAAGTGATTTTATTTTTTTTGAGATCTATGCGTCCCAAGGGCCATATGTGCCTTGCACTGCTATTTTTGCCAAGAAAAAAAAACCCTTTTTTGGCCTTAAAATGCAGTTTTAATATTTTTGCAAATAAGAAATTAAAAACTGAATTAAAAAGCATGAATTAAATATAAAATTATATATATATATATATAGAACATAATTATACATTATTTATTGATAAAATAATGTATACACACACATTGTATATATACATTATTTGTCTTTGTGTGCATGCATGAATTTAGGTATTGCTATTGTGGCATAATTTGACCCATTTGACCCGGATGATTGAACTGATGACCCGCAACCCAAAGGAAAAACGGTTCAACCTCCAAGTCGGTTTTTAAAAACATTAGTAATTTCTTTTCCTTGAAAGCAATGAAATCTAATAAACCCAGAACCCCAAGTTGCCACTAGCGCAATAGATTGTTTTGGGTTAAGCCACCCAGATTAAGCTTGAGAATGAATGAAATCTCCATGTTAAAATGAAATCCCATAATAGTTTATACATTTTAAGCCAAAAAAGAACAAATCTTGTACTTAACAGAAAGGCAAAAGGAAGAAAATTCTTTTCTTTCCTGTGACAATGAGTTATCGTCTAGAGTTTGAAATCGAGTTTGGAAGAAAATAAAGAAAACAGGGGATATAAATAATGGAGGGTTGGGGAGGTGAGAATTAAGTAGAGGTATAAATCGTGCCACGCCACGATTTTGAGCCAGTTTGGCACAACTTGGCATGATGGACTGTGGGCCATGTTGGGCATAGGGTTTCAGGTCCTTGGGCCAGCACGGCATGAACCTGTGAATATAATATGTATATATACACACATTATATATTCTATATAATAATAATTATATAATATATTAATATATATAATTTTATTATATTATTTCATTTTATTATTGTATATATAAACAATAAAATTTTAAGATTTTTTTTTTAAATTTTTGTCTATTTTTTAAATTTATGTTAAAATTTTCATTATTTTTCAAAATAAAAAAATATAGCTTGGTTTGACCCGCAGCACAACATGAGCCCGTGCATATTCGGGCCATGGGCTGTGCTACTAATCCCCCAAAATATCTTAGGAGAGGAAGCATGATCTGACTCAGCCTGTGGGGTAAGACTGCACGACCCACACTTTGCACAGGCCGTATACGGGCCATGCCGTGCTAGCCTATGATTTACACCTCTTCTAAAATTAAAATATTGAGACGCCAATGAATTATTTATGGTTTATCTTATTTCAAAATAGAAGAATATAAACAGTGCACTGTTTTGAATTAGGTTAAAGGATACGTCAGTAAATTTACATTCTCCGTCAGTCTCATTAACTGAACTGGGGACAAAGTAATGGAATGTAAAAGTTAATGGGCTAAAAGGTGTTAGTACTCCAAAGTTTAAGTACGTCGATTAACGGCAGAGACCAACGATAATAAAGTGGAATTTTCTTTTTTCTTTTTTTTTTTTTTTTTTTATTCCGAGCCCAACGAAGCCATTTCCTGCATCTGTGTTGTGAGTTGTGAGGTGAGAAAGGGCTAAAAGGAGATTGACAGGCAGTTGAAGGGGGCACTCGAGGTCAAAACAAAGCACCATAGAATTCTGTGTGTGTGAGTGAGAGAGAGAGAGATGACCTCAGGCGGGATCGAAGATGAAGAGAAATGGCTGGCGGAAGGGATCGCCGGACTTCAACACAATGCCTTCTATATGCATCGCGCACTGGTAACAAGATCTCAACACCTTGGATCCCCTAGTTGAAAACCCTAATTTTTAAGAGCGTTTTCATAATTTCCTTCATTTTGGTTTGAATCCTCTCAGGATTCGAACAATCTCAAGGACGCTCTCAAGTATTCTGCTCAGATGCTCTCCGAGCTTCGGACTTCCCGGCTTTCCCCTCACAAATACTACGACCTTTGTAAGTGATCCTCTCTCTGTAATCCATCTATTCGTCTACTGGATCGAGAGTTCTGATATTCTGTTGTTATCGTTCTAAAATTTAAGTTCGACTCTGGATGGAAATTGAGAGTCAAAACTAAAATTTACGGGCTTGGTGTCTTAGACATGCGAGCCTTCGATGAATTGAGAAAGCTGGAGATGTTCTTCAAGGAGGAAGCGAGACGTGGTTGCTCGATCATTGATCTTTATGAACTTGTACAACATGCTGGAAACATCTTGCCTCGACTGTAAGTGAGAGCGTATGAAGCAGCTCTCTTTTTCTCCCTTAATTATTAGTAATGTAGCGTCTGTTCTTGCCGTTTTTTAATTATTTTTAATGTTAGGTGTGCGCTTATCTTTGTTGTTCCACCATCTATCGTTTTTTTTTTTTTTTCCGATAATTTGTCCAATTCAATTATGTCTCTCATCTCTTTCTCTCTCTGTCTTCTCTCAAAAGGGAAAAAAACCCTCTCATATTCCGAAGGCACTTAAATTAGTTAATTTCCCTCGATCTAAAAAGGCTTACTAAATTGGTGACTGTAGAACCTATTGATACATTTTTAACTTGCATTGCTATGTTATCAGCTGAGAACGAAGCTATATGGTTTTTATTGTTAGCATATTTGGATGCCCACAATTCCCAACTCTTACAATGGTGTTACTTTCCAGCAAGCCATAATCACCTTATGCAACGCAAAGACAGTTCAATTGTTTCTTCAATCTAGCTCCTTTAAGGGATTCCAAGATAGATGTTTCGGCTTTAGCGGTTGTCTTTGGGGGGGGGTTCCAATATTGCATGATTTTGTTTTCCTAAAAGGCTAAAACTAAAACAACTGCTTGTTTTTGCTGATCTAGCAGTTATTTTTGTTTTAGAAAGCAAAATGATGCATCTTGGTGAACAACTCCTTAGTTGTTCTTCTTTGTTAGTACCAATGGAAGATAGTCATTAGGGGTGAATATGAAACTGGATATCTCCTCAATTGACCATCTAAAGAATACGCGCAGACATTAAAGACCAAACACATGAAAATAAAACTGGAAAAAATGCAACAATCCCGACATCATTTCATAAATGCATGTCTCAGGCATTCTTCGCTTTACAACTCAAAATATACAGAAATATTCATGTATATTCCATGTCTACATCTTTGATCTCTAATACTTGGTATGATTTGGAAAAATTGACTCACTGCACCTAGTGAGCCAGGCAGTCAGCATAATTTCTATTTTTTATGTTACAAAACCTTATATAACATGGAACTCTTTGGAAACTTGTTATAATCATTTTACATCGCTCTGTATGATATATTTCTCAATATCGTATGTTGTAGTCTGGTTAGTAACTTTATTTATATGCTTGATTCAGCAAGGTCCCCCCACCCATTTTAGTTTATTTTGAGTATGATTAAGAACTTGGTTCTTGGTTATTATTGATTTATGGCAATATGATCCATTTGGTTGTTTTGCTAAATGATAGCACTTTATTGTAATGTTTTTTTTAGAAGGGGGGATGTTGATCCACACTGTAGTGCAGGGTTTTGTTCTTGGTGATTTTGTTTTACCTCCTTTCTTAAATTGTTTTTTTTTTTTTTAATTTTTTTTTGTTATCTTTTGAAGGGCTACACAATGGGGGGGGGGTAGCTCATCATAACATAGGTGCAGGCGGGATTCGAACCCAAGTCTCCGCTACGACCAGCAGGAGAGCTTACCAACCAGTTGGCACCTTGCTTGTTTTACCTCCTGTTTCTATATTGTAGTTGAATTTACAAAGAGAAGGCTTGTTGATTCAGTTGACACACACCACAGAGACTGAATGTTGTTAGCATTTTGTGCCTTTATTCAATGAAAGGTCCACAATCTGAAACCAATCCCAGCTAGTAGCCCATAGAAGAAAATGATCTTTGAAAGGACCTATTTTCTCCAATCCAACTCCAAGACACCTTTTGGCATGGTTTAAAATGTCCCTAATTTCCCTAATATTTCCACAGCATATTTCCACTTCCATGGGTAGCGACATGAAATTTTACTGGAATTGACATATTCCCCAATGAACACTACCAGTGCTATGTGGAGTAGAAGAGATAGTTTTATAACATAAGTTGGTGACAATATTGTAGATATGTGAAGTAACAATGTTATTATCCACCTAACTTACATGATTACCACTTTGAGCTAGCTTAGTATTTATTTCAAAAATGAAGTTAATTATTAGTTTTTGTTTTTGTAATAGATTATTTGGTTGATCTTTTACAACCATTTGCACTTTCTATGAGTTCAAGTTTTGCTTTAACTGATTCTATCATGAAGCTCTGAATCTTAAGGTTTATAGGGCAACTTCAAAACGTATTCATTTGTCTATAACCTTACTTTCTTAGCTTTGTTTAATGATTTGGAACAATATAATAATTTAAAAAGGTATGTCTATGCTTCTTTCATCATTTCATAAAATATCATTTTATATTTTGCATATTTTACAATGTTTCCACCATGTCTATAATTGTTTACAACATTTCCATACGACATTTCCGACATTTCTGACATGCTTCTTATAGAAAAGGAGCCTTGTAGCCTTCCGACATTTCTGACATCGACATTTTAAACCTTGCCTTTTGGAACTCACCGATGAATGCATTGTAGCAGGACCTAGTAGAAAAGGAGCCTGATTTCTTTCTCAACCAAATTCGAGAGTCCTTTTCATATAGGCCCAGCTAAACAACACCCAACTTTTCCTACAACTCTCCAACCAAGCCCACCTCCCAATCATTCAAATTCCTCCCAAGTATGGGCATCCATACCATCTCTGCACCAATCTCTCTATGCAATCCCTGACAGAGGCATCTCTAATTTCTGTACTATGATACAGAGGTCAATCACCACATCAGACATCATTCCACAAAAAAAAGATTTTCTCTTCAAGGCCAGGCTTTAACCTCGTATTCCTGTCAAACTCCTTCAGATTCATGATTCCCTTCCACAGACTGGTGCATGAGGTTGTGATGGCATAAGTGACTCCCATTCCCGATCCATAGGAGCTCTACCATATTTGCAGCCAATCATCTGCCTCTGCAACTGATTTTGTTCATCAGATCCCCACAACCATTTCTAAACAGTGCCTTATTCATCATTTTAAGCTGTCTTATACCAGCTTTGCTGTGCCTCTCGTGACATCTTTTCTTTTAATTTCTTTCATTACATTGTCTTGTTATTATGAGTCCTTGTTGTTTCTTTCAGGTATCTTCTCTGTACTGTTGGATCTGTGTACATTAAATCAAAGGAGGCTCCTGCTAAGGATGTTCTCAAGGACCTTGTGGAGATGTGTCGTGGCATTCAACATCCTCTACGTGGGCTCTTCTTAAGGAGTTATCTTTCTCAAGTCAGTAGGGATAAATTACCTGATATTGGTTCTGAATATGAAGGGTAAGGAGATCTCTTTACTTGCCTTGTTATCATCCTTTTTTTCCCTTTAGGTGGAGTGGTGGACTATTAATTTTTTACATGGAACATTATTCATTTCTGACATCCTACAATTCATACAACGCTAGACTACTTGGTCATTTGAAAGCAGTACTGCAGTAGTATAGAATAACTTTGATATGGTCAATGCCCTATTACTTCAGTGGGTGCTGCGCCACCTTTATAGGAGGTCATGTGCTCAAACCTGAGTGATGGATATTTCTTTAGAATATGCCATCAGGACACTTGTTGAGGCCACCCCATGCAAACCTTATTATGATTACTGGATCAGGACCTACTTTTTGCAGTATCTTTTGGCAAAAATGCCTCAGCTACCATAAGGGGGCTTAATATGGTCAATTAGCTGGAACAGGACCTACTTTTTAGTTCAGTTCTTATTTTAATTTATTTTATCTTTTTGTTGGGTTTTTATTTTATTTATTTTCTGGATAATTTGGTTCTTATTTTAATCTGCCTCTTTCTGCAGTGATGCTGATACTGTCATGGATGCTGTGGAGTTTGTGCTTCAAAACTTTACAGAAATGAATAAACTTTGGGTGCGGATGCAGCAACAGGTTTGTCTGAATATCTGTAATCTCTTACCTTCTCTCACGTTGGACATGCATGGTATGCCAGTTCTTGCATGTCATAGAGATAAAAGTCAATCATGAGTGCATGATTTATGGTCATGCAGATGGTGTTAATAGTGCTTGTGAATCATTTATATTCTTAGGTGATCCTGAGTTGAGGCATGCAATCGGACTTTCTGGTCTGCAGGGACCTGCCCGGGAGAAAGAGAAACGGGAAAAGGAAAGGAGCGAGCTTCGTGACCTTGTAATATAAGTAACCTGAAATTGGTCAATATCACAATCCTGAAACTGCACAATGGTTCCTAACATTTTTAAGAGGTTATTCTGCTGTCCTGATTTTCCTTTAGGTTGGCAAGAACCTACATGTTCTCAGTCAAATAGAGGGTGTTGACCTTGATATGTACAAAGATACTGTGCTTCCAAGAGTGTTAGAGCAGGTCTGATCATTTGGTTTCTTTTCTGATTTAGAAGTCCATGACACCACAGTATGCTATGCTGACATTCACACTGTTATGGTTGCCAAATGGATTTTGACAGGTTGTTAATTGTAAAGATGAGCTTGCCCAGTATTACTTGATGGACTGCATAATCCAAGTCTTTCCTGATGAGTACCACTTGCAGACTCTTGAGACGTTACTGGGTGCCTGCCCTCAGCTTCAGGTGAGTAACATGCCTATGTTTTGGTGCTTCATTTCCTTGTTTTCAATCTTTTAATACCATTTGATTACCTCCCTGCTGACTTTAATCTGCTAATATGGAGGAAATGCAACTTGAAATATGCAATTTCTGGCTTCCTTGAGGTGACTTTTTTTTTTTTTTGATCAATAACAAGAAACTTTATTAAAGATATGAAACTATGTGAAGCTTAGGTACAAAGGAGAGGTAAATAGACTTAACTCCCTATCAAAGAGTACAAGGAAAAAATAAAAAATTAGCCCAAAAATCGAATCCCTATTCACCCCTTGCTTTGCTAACCCATCAGCAAAGGAATTAGCAGTCCTCTTCACCCAGTTGTAATGAACCACCATATCCGTACTCAGCCATTTAAATTTATTCTTCTCATTGTTATAACTCCATAAGCCGCTGTCTCCCCCTTTTAGCCACCTAATCACCACCTCTGAGTCACCTTCAAGGACCAAACATCTGATGTTCAGCTCCCTTGCTCTTTGGATGCCTTCCAGGGCTGCGAGGATTTCAGCCCTAAGAGAGTCTCCTTCCCCAATTGGGCCTGAAAACATAGCAATAATAGCCCCCACCTCATTCTTGAATACTCCCCCAATCCCAGAAGGCCCTAGGTTCCTTAAACAGCTGCCATCAAAATTCAGTTTTATGAACCCAGAAGGAGGAGGGAACCACAAAGGACTACAGCTCCTCTTACAGAGGGCAGAGGAAGCTATCTCCTTCCATTTTCTCACCAAATCAGCCACAGAATAATCTGAGAACAGTTCCATAGTTTTCAACCAATGTGCCACCCTTAACAGAACTAGATCTAATAAGTTTCCGATGGTTCTTTCCTTATCTGAAAATATTCGTGAGTTTCTTTCTTTCCATTGAGTCCAACACACTGCAGCCCTGATGCTTCTCCACATAGTCTTCCCTCTCTTCTTTGGCCATCTGAAAAAGGAGGGAGAGAACAAGCTCTGAACACTCTCAAGGGGTATCCAAACACACCCAAAAAGGGAAAAGACCCACTCCCAAACTGATTTGGCAACCGAACAAGTAACCATAAGGTGGTAACCAGTTTCCCCATCAGCTTTACAGAGAGTGCATCTATTAGGAAGTAAACAAGAGTTGGGTCTCTTCTTCTGAAGTAGGTCATTTGTGTTAATTCTTTCCAGAAAAGTTTCCCAACAAAAACTACCAACCCGAGGAGGAATGGGTTTGCTCCAAATTTCTTTAACCGGAAAGACAACCCAATGGGATCAGAAGGCTGAGTTAAAGTCTCAAAAAATGAGGCACAAGAGAAAACACCTGAAGAGGAGGGAACCCAAAATCTGGTGTCCTCCTTATTGGGATCCAAGAAAACATTTTCAAGGATGGCTAACAAAGACAAAAGGTGGTCCAAGTCTGCATCCCTAATTGCCCTTCTTAAACCTAGGTTCCACCCAAACCCTGAAGGAGAGTCTGAGGGGCTTAAGAAGGAAAAATGGGTTCATTTTTCAAATCAGAAAGAGCATACAAAGAGGGAAATTGGTCCATCAGAGGTGAGTCCCTGACCCAAAGTTGTTCCCAAAATTTTATTACCGGAGTTAAAACCATACCTGATACAAGGGAAAAAAACTGGAAGCAGATTGTATATGGCTGACCAAGGAGAGGCGGCTGTAGTCCTTGCCAAGATTCGTATGCTAGCCACAATCTTTGTCCACAACTTGTCTCTTTCCAACGGAAATCTCCATAACCATTTCCCCAACAAAACCCTGTTCCTCTTCCTAACATTCCCAATCCCAAGACCTCCTAGCTTTTTACCTCTAGTTAGCACCTCCCAACTCACCCTATGGTCCTGCTTCTCCTCTCTAGGCTCCCACAAGAAATCCCTCATAAGCTTTTCCAAAGTGTTAGAGACCTTTGTGGGGATCTTAAACACTGATAGGAAATACATAGGAAGATTAGCTAGGATTGATCTAATCAAAGTGATTCTCCCCTCCAAGGAAAGATAGTTTTTCCTCCAAGAAGCAAGCCTTTTCCCAAATCTCTCCACTACCGTGTTCCAAAAGCTTACCTTCTTAGGGTTATCCCCTAGGGAGAGGCCTAAGTAAGTCATCGGCCATTCCGGTGTTGCACACCCTAACACACCTGCATACTCTCTAAGCTCCCTGTCTTCCAAATTCACACCCACCAAACTACTCTTATCCAAATTCACCTTGAGATTAGATACCCGCTCAAAGAGTTGTAATGCCAATTTTAGGTTCCGGATCCACTCAATGTCCCCACCTTCGCAGAAAAGGATTGTGTCATCTGCGAACTGCAGATGAGTAAGAGGTATCTCCTCCCTTCCTACTCTCCATCATTTTATTAAATTCCTTGAATCTGCTCTCTGAATCAATATCCCAAGTACATCAACAATTAGCGTGAAGAGGAAAGGGGATAGTGGATCACCTTGTCTTATTCCTCTCGAGGCGGGGAAGAAATCCACCACAATTCCATTCACCAAGATAGAGTAGTGGCAGCTTCTAATACAACCCCAGATCCACTTACACCAACTGTCTCCAATGCCAAAACTTTTCAACACCTCCAACAAAAAAGACCAATCAACCATGTCATAAGCCTTCTCCAAGTCCAGTTTACACACCACTCCCTTCTTCTTGGATTTCCTAAAGCTCCCCAGACTCTCATTAGCAATCAAGATTTGATCGGTAATTTGTCTTCCCATCACAAAAGCACCTTGGTTAGGTGCAATTGTGGAAGGAAGAACCTTCTTTAATCTTAGAGACAACACTTTTGTGATTATCTTGTACAAACTGTTCACCAAACTAATAGGTCTGAAGTTCCTTGGTTGTGATGCCTCTTTCTTCTTAGGAACCAGAGCAATGAAAGTGGAGTTCAAGCCCGGGTTGATTATTCCCCTTCTGTGGAACTCCTCAAACACTGACCCAATATCTTTCTCCACAATACCCCAACAATCTTGATAAAAAGCCATTGTGAACCCGTTCGGACTTGGAGCTTTTGTTCTATCCATTGAAAAGATTGCTTTCTTTATCTCCTCCAATCCAAACCCTCCAACCAGATCCTTTCATTTAAAGGTCTTCTGAAAATAGATTTGAAATGGCTAACGAAGGCTCTGCTATTTCTACCGGGTGGGAAATAACTGTTCCTTCAACTTCCAATTTTGAAATGAAATTCTTCCTTCTTCTCTCATTTGCCACTGAGTGAAAGAAACCGGTGTTTCTATCCCCCTCCTTCAACCACTTGCACTTAGATTTTTGCCTCTAACTTATTTCCTCCTTAATCAACAAATCCTCCAATTGCTTTCTTAAGCTCCATATCCTTTCTCTGTCTTCTTTTCCAACAAGACCCCTTCCTTCCTTCATATCCAACTCTTCTATCTGCTCTACCAACACCTGTTTCCTTTCCTCTACTCTCCCAAACTCCAACCTGTTCCACTCCTTTATTTGGGATTTTAAGAATTGAAGCTTTTTATGGAACCTCATTCCTTCCCACTGTATTGGCGGATTATAATGCTGCCACCATTCCTTAACTTTCTCAATGAATCCCGGGTGGATCAACCATATGTTTTCAAACCTAAACGGGGCAGGTCCATCGCCTCTGAATTCCTCCTTACACATTACTATAGGCCAGTGGTCTGAGGTAAGCCTCGGAAGCACCCTAGATGTTAAGTTACCCCAATGTTCCTCCCAATCTGTTGAAAAGAGAAACCTGTCCAGCTTAGAGCAAATTGGGCTTGATTGGAGGTTGGACCAGGTGAAGGTATTGTTAAGCATTTGAAGTTCTTTAAGCTCAAACGTATCCACAAACTGGTTGAAGCTCCTCATACTTGTCATATAATCTATTCTTTAAGGGGGTGGGGGGCAAAATCTATTCTTTCTGCTAACAGGAGTAGATTGTCATAGAATTTCTTTGCAAGAAAGCCGCTAGAATGAAAACATGCTATTAGGCATATTGATCTTGAGTGCTTATAAGAACTTAGCTTTAGAGATAGAAACCTTCGTATCAATAATTTGAGTGGTGTAATTGTTTCTGTTCTTTTGTTTGCAATTTGAGTGAAGTAATTATTGAGAGATAAATATAACAATTGCAAAGTCATTAATATCTGGTTCTTTCTTCTCTTGCTCCCTTGCAGCCAACTGTTGACATCAAGACAGTGCTCTCCCAACTAATGGAGAGACTATCAAACTATGCTGCTTCGAGTGCAGAAGTAAGCTATCCATATTCTGTTCTCTGTGCCAACATTCTGTATTTTGTTCCTTACAATTTTATGCTGCAGGTTTTGCCTGAATTCTTGCAAGTAGAAGCTTTCACCAAATTGAGCAATGCCATTGGGAAGGTAAACCCTTGATATCAGTTTTAATGGATATTATGTTTAACGTTAAACAATTATTTATACAATATCCTGGAAAGACAACATAGAGAGCAACCATGGTAGCCTCTTGAGCCAAGGTCACCACTTTTGCCATTAACTTAAAATGTTTGTACAAATGTGGCATTTGTGCGGAATGCTATGTGTCTATGTGTTTATATCTATGTGTTTCTATAGCCCTGTAGAAGGATGACTTTAGCCATGTAAGATGAGTCATGAGGTCAATGGTCTGATTGATCATGTATTTTGATTTTCTGTATGCATCATTTTGCTACCATGTGGTAAATGTTTCCTCCAGTGTAACAAGCTATTGAATTTCCAAACTTTTAAGAGAAAATCCCCCAAAAGAGTTTTTTTTTTTTCTGTTCTTTTTTTGCACTGGCAGAGAGTCATTTGCTGAAACTCCATGGTGTGTTTGGCTGGAGTGGGATGACAAAATGCTGGGGCCTTTTGTGCAGCCACATAGAAGATTCTTGAGTCTTCTAGGTCTTGTTACAGATTCCTTTGCTACAACACTTCTAGTGTGTGTGTGTGTATTGTTTCATAGGATCTTGTATTCTTTATGCCTTTCTTCTAAATATCTTTTGCTTTGTAGGTCCGAATTTATATGCTAAGTTTTAAGTGACTGAGTCCCTAGTTCTTTCAAGTAAATTATTCTACTAACATTTATCTTAGTTTTCAAAGTTTATTCTGCATTCTTTTTGGG